AGAACACTGGCCCCGTGACTGCAGCGCCTCCTGTCCCCCAGTGCAGAGCCAAGAACTTTGCTGGATTAACCCCCTTGGCCCTTACAGACGGGGACTCAGGCCCAGAGCGGCTGTCTGGCTGTCAGCGCTGCCAGCACTGGGGACAAGGCGAGCCAGGGACCCTGGCGGAGGGGGTTGGGTCTCAGGCTCTCAATTCTGTGCTCCCCTTTCTGCCTGGATGTACACGTTCCACCGTGGAACCAGCCTCAGGCCACGGAGAGCACCCTTTGTGCGAGGCCCCATTGGCTCAGGGGAGACAGGCAGGAGCCTTGTGCTTGGGATGGGGGCCCTGGCCTGCTAGACCTTCCCCTGTGCTCTCAGGCTCAGCTTCTCTCTGGCTATGGCTGCTCTCAGTCACCTCCCACCATCTCAGGCCACTGCCTTCAATGTCTTGCAGAAGTCACCCAGCCCAAAGGGCAGGGTGAGGCCTCCTGCAGCCAGGCCTGCCCCTTGGTTCCCGGTGGCGGTGTGTCCCCGAGAGGGTCCCTGCTGCTCTCCAGGCTGCTGTTGCCCCCAGGTCTCCCCAGTGCAGCCAGGGCAGCTCCTCCGGAACCATAACTCTGGTGGCTTTGGGGCGGGTCCTTGGGGACACTTGCTTCCCCGCTCCAGCCGCACAGAGATAGCAGCTCCCTCTTCCCGGCAGCCTCACCAGGCAGAGGCCAGGATCCTGCTCACTAGGGTGTCTCCCTCTCCCACTGGCCCCAGACTACAAGGAAAAGGGTTGACTCCCACCTTGCCCATACCCAGCAAGGTGCAGGCACAACTGGGAAGGTGCTGGAGGCCCTGGGGGGGAGGCTGGGTCTGCGCCAGGTGTTGGGGACAGGTTTCCATCTCTACACCCCAGCCCTAGGCGATGGTGCGTGCCCCTCCCGCTGCCCCACCTGTTACCCACCTGCTGGCCCCAGGCTGTCTCCGCTCCTGGCTCCCCTCCCAGCTGAGTTCCCAGCTGCCTCTCCAGGGAGGAGTGACAGCTTGGCAGTGTCACACCCTTGGGCCCCTCCCTGGGCTGCCCCCTTCCTGGGGAAGGACCCCTGCATGTTGCACAAGCCAGGGGCCAGCTGACAGGGCTGTGGTGTGCGGGTGCTGCCAGCTGCCACCGCATTTGCCCCGGCCTGTCACATGGAGCCCGACACACTCTGAAGCCCATGTCATGAATGCTGTGTAGGCGGCTGGTGTGGGGGGTCACTCGGGTTTGCTATCCCACTGCCCTCTGGAAGCCTCAGCCAGGAACGGCCCCCGTGGGCATCTTTTGCCTCCACAGTGTGCTGTGTCTGTCTGTTCTTGAGCTCTGTGATGACTTGAGGGGCAAGTCTATGACCCCAGGGGAAGCTGGGCTCATGAGGGGACCAGAGACCTCGGTGTTGTGCAGGGAGCCCTGAGCCACCCTGGTGGGAGACTCCCCAGCTCCCCAGGCCTCCTGCCAGCTCCCTGTGATGTCCAGAGGACCTGTCATCAGGCCTGAAGGAGGAGCTCCCCCTTGACATCCTCCCTGCAGCCCCCACTCCTTGAGAGAGCCTCCTCACTCCCCAGGACTCCAGAAAGGACCCTCTCCTCCGGCCTCTGGGCTCAGGACAGCCAGGCAGAGTGGCCACAGGGGCTGCCTGCAGAGGGCAGAGTCTGGACAGGGACTGAGCCCCACGCTTATTCTGGAAGTATCTGCAGGGGAATGATAGAGGCAGCTGGGTATGCTGGGCCGAGGACAGGCATTGTGGGGCCCTTGGTGGAGACTGGGAGGTAGAAGTGGGGGCACTGTGGAGGAAGGAGAAGAAGGGCTGGTGTCCCCAGTCGGTGGGGGGGGGGCGGGCAGTGGATGAGGCTGGCCAGAACAGACCTGAACTTGGGGAACCCCACTCAGAACGAGGCTTCCATCAGAGTTCTGGTGTCCTTGGCTGGGGGCCAAGCCCTGAAGTGGAGTGTGGGACCGTGAGGGTGTGGGGGTCCACCAGGGCAGGAGGTGGATGGATGGAGCCTCCCCACTGCCTGACCCCTGGGCTGAACCCTGGGCCTCGGGAGCCAGAACAGACACAGGAAATCGCCTCATTGCATTTGTGGAGGAACACCAAATCCCTCGCAGCTGCACGGAGCTGAGCCAGGGCCACAGGCAGGTCGGCCATCCCAGAGTCCTGACAACTCCACCCAGCCTGCCAAGGGGCCTGGGCTGCTGGCCGGGGGGCGCCTTTCCCAGGCCAGAGGCCCCCACCCCACCCCAGGAGAGCTATCCCCCTTCCAGTTCCCAGAATGGAGCCCAGCTGTGGAATAGTGAGGGGGTGAGGTCATGGGGAGGGGGCCCGCATTACTCATATCCTGGGGCAGGCGGAAAGGGAGGAGATGGGGAAGGGGGCCCAGAGGCCTCCTCGTCCTCAGGCTGCTGGGTCAGGGGCCAGGGGCCGGCAGGGCCTCTCCCCAGCATTGGGTTTTAGGAGAGACACAGGCAGGAAATGCTTTCCCTGCACCCCCACTCTGTCCCCAGGCCCCTCGCCAGGGAGAGCTCAGCCCGGCAGGGATGAAGTTCCCAGAGCGCACACCTTGGCCTCCTGCCAGGGCCGGCACCGCCGTTGTGGGGCGATGCAAGACAGTCAGTGTTTGCCTCCTGACAGCGAGGCTGCGGCGTCCTGCGGGGATCCCTGGAGGGGACGTGGTCCCCTTGTTCCCAAACCGCCTGCACACACGTGTGGATGTCAGGTGTTGCTGTGGGCGAGCGCGTGCATTCTTGCATGTGCCTGGGGCTCGGGCGTGTGTGCCTGTGTGGCCGGAGCGTGGGCTCGTGGAGAACGTGCTTCAGCCAGTGTGCCCCGGGCCTGGGGACTCCCAATGCGGGCCGCGCTCCGTGTGCTAGGCATGAGCTGTGAGCAGAGCGAGGGCCTCTGTGGGGCTGTCAGGCCCGGACTTGCTGCCCACAGGGGTGGACCGAAGGAGACATGTGCACACGAGCCTCTGGGGTCTCTTCGCTAATGTGTGCTCCCCAGCCCCGCTCTCCCCACGGCTTGGTGGAGGGGGTCGCTGGAGCTGGACTGAGGGCCCTGGCCCCACCCGGAGCCCACATTTGAGGAGAAGCTGGGGCTCCACCTCATGCCCCAGGCCCGGGGCACACACCCCAGCTGAGCCCTAGCCCACATGGAGGGGCTGGGACATGGGAACCTGGGGAGCCACATGGCCAGGCTCCCCCTCTATGGAGGCCCTCCCCCTCCTCAACACTCTGCCCCAGCTCTGTACCAGCCTGGGTTTGGAAGGGTGTGAGTGAGCACAAGGGCCCCTGCACCCCCAAGCTCTGCCTCCCCAAGTGGAACGAAGTCCAGCAGCCCCCAGCCCTGCTGAGGCCAGCAACGGCGGGAAGCCCGGCCTCATCTGCCTGGATGATGGGAGCCAGGTGTGGGGAATTAAGGGGCTTCCTCGGGGGCTGGGAGTTGAAGGCACTTCTGAGGAGCAGGACAGGCGGGCGGATTCGGGAGTGCAGGGGGCGGGTGTGCAGGCGGCTGGCTTTGCGTGGCTGGAGTCCCCTGTGGCTTCGGTGGGGGGAGTGGGCCTTGAACATGGGCCTGCAGAAGGGCCTGGCTTTTGTCTGAGAGGCTTAGGGGAGACTAGGCGAGATTAGATCATGCTCTGGCAGAGCACGCTTTCTGGCCAGGGGACGGGGGCCCAGTGGGGATCCGGCTGCAGGGTCAGGCAGCGGACACTGGCCGGGAAGAACAGAGACCCCAGCAGGGAGACCCCAGCCCTGCTCCTTGTTCTGGCCTGGGCTCCCTCCCTGGGTCTGGGATAATAACCCCTGTAGGATGGTAGAGACCCTGGACCCCCCCTCAGGCTCTAGGAGGGCAATGGGAGGCAGGACTGTGACAGCTGCGGCTCCAGTGTCTGCAGGACCTGGGCTATCTGAGAGCTGCTGGGCAGGGGCTCCGACCCCTAGGTCCAGGCCAGCCTGTGTCTTCCTCCATCCACAATTGGGACACGTGAGCCCCTCAGCAGCCATGGTGTCAGGTTGTGAGAGCAGAAGCACTCCCTTACCTCAGCTTCCCATCTTTGAAACAGCCCGATTGACCGCGCACAACTTTGGGAGGCTGAGGCAGGCGGATCACCTGAGGTCAGGAGTTCGAGACCAGCCTGACCAACACAGAGACACTCCATCTCTAACAAATAATACAAAATTAGCTGGGCATGGTGACGCTTGCCTGTGATCCCAGCTATTCGGGAGGTTGAGGCAGGAGAATCGCTTGAACTCAGGAGGCGGAGGTTGCAGTGAGCTGAGATCCCGCCATTGCACTCCGGCCTGGGCGACAAGAGTAAAACTCCGCCCCAAACACCACCAACAATAAAGAAACAGCTCAGAGAGACTCCGCAGAGGACTCCGAAATCAGGATGGGGGGGTTGGGTTAGCCGACCCCATAGGGTCCCCCCAGCTATGGGGTTAGGCCCAGGCAGGAGCCCAGGGCTTCTCTGAGCAGAGCTGATGGTAGGACAGGAGCCATCTGCCTGGCTGGCAGGCTCTCCTTTCCTCAGCCTTGGGCCTCATGGGGGGGACCCTCTCCCCAACACAGACTGCCTTTGGGGTGCAAGAGGGAGCATCTGCAGGGGGCTGCGGCCAGCCTCCCTGGACACCCGTATCTTCTTCCGGGCCCTCCAGGGTCAGCTGGGCCTGAGTCCTGGCTCTAATGAGGGAGGGGCAGGCTGGGAGAGGGGGACAGAGGGCCTCTGTCCTGTTTTTTCAGGCCTGAATGGGCCCCCAAGGGCATGGGGGGCCCAGATCCTCACAGGACCCTGAGACCCTTGCCTGGGCCAGAGGGCACCTCCTGACCACATGCCCAGCCTCTATTTAAAGATGGAAGTGGTGAGGCCCGAGGGCCGGCCTGGGACTGCCCTGTGGACCAGGGCTGCTCCCACCGTGTGGCCCCGGCAAGGCCTGCATAGACAGGATCCGCGGGTACAAAGCAGTGCCTGTCTTCAGTGTCCACTGTGTCCCCCACCAGGCTCACAGCTCAGTGGAGCGTGGAGGACAAGGAGGAGGCCGCCCCAGAGCAGTGCCGGCATGAGCGAGACAGGCAGCTGCAGGCCCAGGACGAGGACGGAGGCCGCCATGTCCCCGAACAGCCAGAGCAGGAGATGCTGTGAGCAGCCCCACCCGCAGCCTTGGGCTCCAGCCCCTATCTGTGCACCCTGGGGCCTGGGCAGAGGGGGAGGTCAAGGGACTGTGCTTGGGGGGGCCTAGTGTAGGACGGCGAGGAAGGCCCCCAGGAGCAGACGCGGGGGGGGGGGGGTCGAGTGCTGCTGGGCGAGCGTGGCTGAAGGCCTGGGTGAGGGTCTGCCAGTGCCTGGCTGCCTCCTGGGTGCTGCCCCAGGCAGTGCGCCCCCATGCTGGTCCTTGCGTGGACTGCCTCTGACCCCAGCCATGTGGCCTGGCCCGGGCCCCCCACCAGATTCCCCCGCCAGTGACTCACAGAGCCACGTCCAGCTTGGCGGCCAGGCTGGCTTGCTTCCTCCCTGGGCCCAGGAGGCCTCCACGGCAGGGCTGGGCTGGGCTGGGCTGTTTTTGCAATAATGCTCCCCTTCCTCCTGGCCTCTTTTGTTCCATTTTCTCCGAGTCAGCAGCCTTGAGCAGAGTGGGGTGCAGCGGTCACCACAGTTAGGCCCTTAGCCATCCCACAGAGCCCCAGCTCTCCAGGGCTCACCCCACCACGTGGGAGGCCTGAGAAGTTGGGGTTTGGGAGGAGCCTGGGGGCCAGAGCAGCCCTTGGGGAGCCTCAGGATGATGGGGGAAGCACAGACCTACACTCAGGAGCCCCAGACTGATGGGGGAGGCATAGCCCTGCTCTCGAGGAGCCGCAGGCTGACAGGGGAGGCACCGCCCTGCCCTCAGGGAGTTCCAAACTGATGGAGGAGGCACAGCTCAACCGCCAGGGAGCCCCACACTGATGAAAAAGGCACAGCCCTACACTCAGGAACCCCCAAACTGATGGAGGAGGCATAATCCTGCCCTCAGAGTGCCCCAGACTTATGGAGGAGGCACAGCCCTACCCTCAGGGACCCCCAGACTGATGGGGGAGGCACAGCCCTGCTCTCAGGGACCCCCAGACTTATGGGGGAGGCACAGCCCTGCCTTCAGGGAGCCCCAGACTGATGGGGGAGGCACAGCCCTACCCTCAGGGATACTCTGACCACAGGAGACACAGCCCAGAGCCAGCTCTCTGGCACACAGGGTCCCCCACACTTGGAGCCCAGGGCCTGAGCAGGCACCATGAAGTGAGTGGTACCTCCGGGCGGAGGAGGTAGCAGCCGCCCGGTCCTAAGCTCCCTCCTGCTACCCTCAGCCTCAGCCCGAAGGCCTCGGAGGCCCCTGAACTGGATGAGGATGAGGGCTTTGGTGACTGGTCCCAGAGGCCAGAGCAGCAGCAGCTTGAGGGGGCCCAGGGCACCCCACACGGTGGAGAGCCCACCCGGTGCAGGAGTCCTGAGGGGGAGCAAGAGGACAGGTGAGTGGGGGCCGCAGGGTTGGCGCTGGGCAGAGCGGGGCTCCCTGTGGGCCTCAGGGTGGGCGCTGGGCAAAGTGGGGCTCCCTATGCACCCCCAGCCTAAGCCTAAGCAGCCACCCCATGATCCCCTTTCCAAGCAGCCCCTGAAATGCCCCCATGGCCAGGAAAGAGGGAGAAAGAAGGGGAGGGAGGAAGAGGGCGAGACAGCATGGCGGCTGCGCGAGGGGCCTCGAGGAAACCTCATTCTGGGGCTCCCCAGAGCCCCTGGGCCCCATCCAGGCAGCTGCGGGGCTGGGCGGTGCTGCCACATCAGCACACAGCTGTGGCCGCTTCTGCAATGGAGGCTGAGAGCCTGCGGCCGCCCCTTCCTCCCTCGGGGCTGGCTGATCTCCATTCCCACGGAGGGGAGCAGGTATTTCCAGATGTGCACGCCGTTTCCAGATGTGTGGATGTGCGTGCCTCTCTTAACCCCAGCAGGCCCGAGAGGGGCTGCTCCCGAGCCCCACCTCACTACCCACACTCAGGGTTCCTGCTGCCTCGGTCCGCTGTGGCCATGATGGGTCCGACTCCAGCCCTGTTTGGGACCCCCTGGCCTTGAGTGGGGCCAGAGCCCGTGGCTGGGTGGCAGCTCTCCCTGGTCGTCCCGGCCCCTCTGAGACCCCCTGGAGCTCTAGGGGCTGGTGTTGCTTAGCAATGCTCCCTTGTCCTCCTACAACCAGGCTCCCACTCCACAAGAGCCCCTGGTCCTGGCCTGACCCAGCGCCCACCGCCCCCTCCCCAGGCCTCAGTTTCCTCATAGGCGCCTGGGAGTCAGAGGCCCCGCATTTCTGAGATGGGGCAGCTCCCTCCTCTCTGGCCTCAGGCCTTGGCAGGCAAGGCTGCTCCCAACAGCAGGGGGCACTTTGACTCTTCGGTGGAGCCCGGCTCTGCGGCTGCCACCCCACCCCCCCTCCACCTGCCTGGCTGCAAGGCGCTGCTCCTGAATGGCCCCTCTGTGTGGCTGCTGCTGGCTCAGACCCTTGCCCACCTTGGGTGGGTGGGTCTGGGTCTTGGCTGGCACGCACACCCACAGGCCTGAAATCATGGAAAATTCGAGAATTTCCCATCTTCTCCTCCAGCTTCAGTCCTGCTCAAATGCAGAGCTGCTGGAAGCTGCCAGCTGGCTGGCCTCCCCTCCCCCGCAGCCGGCAGCCCCTTGGCCCCTCTCCTCAGTGACCTGGCCCCTACCTCTGCCTGGCTTTCCAGATGACCCAGGCTCCAGCCCCCCACAACACCCACAGACCCCCACAGGGAGCAGAGAAGGAATCGTAACCCCAGAGATGCTGCCAGACCAACCGGTGGGCGAGCAGCTGCCAGGCGGAGGCCCAGCCAGAAAGCTGGGGGTTGAACCCAGCCTCTGTGCTTGGGGGACCCTCACGTGGCAGGGCCCTGCCTGGTAGGGATTGGGCAGTTCCCCAGGAGTCTTGGGCCCTGACACAGAGGCCCAAGCAGACAGCACTGCCTCTGAGGCCGCTGGACCTTCTTACCCAGTGGGCTGGGTCTCAGATCCCTTAGTACCCAACGAGCGTGACTGCCCCCATTTCACAGATGGGGAAACTGAGGCTTGTAAATGGGAAGAAGTCAACCAAGCAATCCAATGCCCTAGAACAGCTTTGCCTCTGTTTCCACCCACAGGCCCGGCCCGCATGCCAGTGACGAAGGCCACCTGGAGGAGTTGAGTCAGAGCAAGGAGGGGCCAGACCCGGAGGACACCGTCCAGGACAACCTGGGGGCCGCCGGGGCCAAGGAGGAACAAGAGGTAGTGGCTCCACCTCAGGGTCTGGGTGCCCCCACCCCGGGATGAGTCTCCTTGGCTGTCTACTCCACTGTGGGTCCTATGACATTAGCCCGGAGGGGTCAGCACCCCACACCCTCCACCTTGCAGCCCCTTCTGGGCCCACATTCTCAGGGAGGGTGAGGCTCGTTGACCCTCTTGCAAGCTCCAGAGACAGTTCCCCGGACTCCTCAGTCCCTCGCCACCAGCTCTAGAACGGGAGCATGTCAGGGCCACGGACACCCTGAGGCCCAGGGAAGGGACAGCATTTGTTCCCGCAGGCGCTGGGCGGGGCAGGAGGGGTACAGGCAGGGGTCACCTGGGGTGTCTTGTTGTTTGTTTTCCTAGCACCGGAAATGTCAGCAGCCCAGGACACCCAGCCCCTTGGTCTTGGAGGGGACCACCGAACACAGCCCGCCTCCCCCGAGCCCTACCACCAAAGTAGGTCAGGTAGCAAAGCCCGCCATCTTCTCCCCTCTCCCAGACTCATCCCCAAATGGCCAATCCCACGTGCCTGGGCACAGGAAGACCAGGCCCAGGCCCGGCTTTTGTCCGTTATTTCCCCGTTGCCTGGCGCTCAGCAAACCCCTGTGATATAAGGGTTGGGGGTTGGATGGGCGGATGGAGTAACTGTGGGGGTGGAGGGTGTGGGCTTTGCCCTGGCTGCTGCAGGCTCATGTCTCCACCCTCCACAGCTCATCGACAGGACCGAGTCTCTACACCGCTCCATAGAGAAAAGGTCTGTCTGTCTGTCTGTGTCTGTCTGCCTGTCTCTCTGTCTGTCCGTCCGTCCGTCCGTCCATCTGTCTGCCTGTCTGTCTGCCTGTCTATCTCTCTGTCTGTCTGTCCGTCTGTCTGTCTCTCTGTCTGTCTGCCTGTCTGTCCACCTGTCTCTCTGTCTGTCTATCTGTCTGCCTGTCTGTCTCTCTGTCTCTCTCTCTGTCTGTCTCTCTGTCTCTCTCTCTCTCTCTGTCTGCCTGTCTCTCTGTCTGCCTGTCTGTCTGTCGGTTTGTCTGTCTGTCTCTCTGTCTGTTTCTCTATCTGTCTGCCTGCCTGTCTGTCTGCCTGTCTGTCTCTCTGTCCGTCTGTCCGTCCGTCCATCCGTCCGTCCATCCATCTGTCTGCCTGTCTGTCGGTCTGTCTGTCTGTCTCTCTCTGTCTGTCTGCCTGTCTGTCCATCTGTCTCTCTGTCTGTCTATCTGTCTGCCTGTCTGTCTGTCCATCTGTCTGTCTGTCTGCCTGTCTGTCTGCCTGTCTGTCTCTCTGTCCATCTGTCCTTTCGTCCATCCGTCTGCCTGTCTGTCTCTGTCTGTCTCTGTCTGTCCGTCTGTCTGTCTCTCTGCCTGTCTGTCCGTCTGTCTGTCTCTCTGCCTGTCTTTCTGTCTCGCTGTCTGTCTGTTTCTGTCTGTCTGTCTGCCTGTCTGTCTGTCTGTCTGTCTGTCTGCCCGTCTGTCTGCCTGTCTGTCTGTCTGTCCGTCTGTCTGCCTGTCTGTCTGTCTGTCTGTCTGTCTCTTTGTCTGTCTATCTGTCTGCCTGCCTGTCTGTCTGTCTGTCCTTCTGTCTGTCTCTTTGTCTATCTGTCTGCCTGTCTGTCTGTCGGTCAGTCTGTCTCTCTCTGTCTGTCTGCCTGTCTGTCTGTCCGTCCGTCTGTCTGTCTCTCTGTCTGCTTTCTGGGCTTGAATCTTAGGTCTCCCCAAGAAGGGGTTGAAGGGTGTCGCAGGTCAGAGACCTGGAGACCACAGGAGGCTCTGGGAGAGGCTCGAGCGGGTTGGGGGAACCCTTTCGGGGAGTCATGGAGCCTGACGCATCTTCTACCCTCCAGTAACAGTGTAAAGAAGTCCCAGCCAGACCTGCCCATCTCCAGGATTGACCAGTGGCTGGAGCAATACACCCAGGCCATTCAGGTATGACCTGGCTCCCTACTGCTGCCACGCCTCTCCTCCATCCCAGCACCCTTCCTTCCTCCAACCAATGCCCTTATTCATTCGTCAATTTCCCTCCATCCAACCAGTATAGTTTCATCCAATCAGTGCCTCTGCTTCCAACCAATGCCCTTCCACCCAAACCATGCTTCTCTCTCTACCAGCACATCTCCGTCCGCCCAGTATCCTTCCATCCAACCAACACTCCTGTGCTAAATCAGGGCCCCTCCCTCCACCCCGAGCTCATTTATCGGAGCACTCCCCTTTCCTACCAGCACCCCCCATTCTATGGCGCTCTTCACACACTGCTCCTTCACCCAGTCATCACCTTTCCGTTCCTTTCGACCAGCCGACACTCGCTCCTCCATCCAGTCGGCGACCCTCCGTCCTGTCAGCGTTCCTGTATCCCGTCAATATCCCTTCATGCAACCAGCGCCTCCCCATCCATTCAACCCTCCTCCCTTCATTCACCGCTCCTCCAACCAGTCAGCACCTCTCCGCCCTCCCAGCGGCCCTCCATCCAACCAATCTGCTTCATCCAACCAACGTGGTTCCATTCAATCAATGCCCCTTCATTGAACCAATATGGCTCCATCCAACCAGTGCTACTCCGTTCAATCCTCCACATAACAAATACTCCTGCATATGATCAGTGCTCTCCATCCAATCAAAGCAACGTCATCAATCACACCTTTCTATACAACCAACGCTTCTTCATCTGATCAATGCTCCTACTCCGCCATCTATCCACTGCTCCTCCATCCATTCGGTGCCCCTGCCTCCAGCCCGTGGTCCGCCGGCCCTACCCCGGAGCAGCTTGGAGGCAGACCCACATCTGTCCTGTGTGCCATCACCCCGCTGGTGCTCTTTAGGGCAGGGAGGTATCTCACAGTCGCACCAAATGAAGGAAAGCACGTTGTTTCAGTGATCCCCAGTCTAGGGCCACATTGGGAAAGCGCTCCCAGGGAACGTACACAGGCAAAGCAGAGGGCTGCCCAGCGTGACCCTCTGATGTGTCCACGGTGGTCATCCGCTACGGTAATCCTGGTACCTTGCCTCCTCTGCAGACCTCTGGCCAGACCCCCAGGCTAGCCCGCCAGGCCTCCATAGAGCTGCCCAGCATGGCTGTGGCCAGCACCAAGAGTCTGTGGGAGACCGGTGAGGTACAGGCTCAGTCTGCGGCCAAGACACCACCCTGCAAGGTAAGGGCCCCTCTAGGAGTGAGGCCGGGTTGCAGAGCCAGTGCCTGGGAGTTTAGCAGCAGGTCAGGACTCCTTGCAGAGGCAAGCATGGGACGGTCCGGGAGGCAGTGTGGGAGACAGAACACTGGGGCATTGTGGCTGGTTGGGTCACCCTTGCTGGTGTTGATGGTTGTGCTGGCCGAGTGGACGTGGATGCCACATCTATTCCTTTCCCTGCCCTCTTCCACTGGGATCGCACAGAAGAAGGTACGTAGGCAGGTCCCAGGCCCCCTGGCCAGGTAAGGCAAGGTAGGAGAGAAGGGCTCGGGGCTTCTATTCCCTGAGATCCAGGGGTCTGCCCTTGTGACATGTCCTGCTGCTGCCCCCAGGATATTGTGGCTGGAGACATGAGCAAGAAAAGCCTCTGGGAGCAGAAGGGAGGCTCCAAGACCTCGTCGACAATTAAGGTAAGAGCCTACATATGGTTGGTGCAGGCAGGGTGGGTGCCGCAGGGCAGGGCTAAGAGGGGCTGTCCTCTGTGCATCCGGGAGGGCTTCCCGGAGGCGGAGGCAGCCTCGTCTCCCTTCTGCTGTTCTCACCTTCACTCCTGGTCTCCTTCCCCAACAGAGCACCCCATCTGGGAAGAGGTATAAGTTTGTGGCCACCGGACATGGGAAGTATGAGAAGGTGCTTGTGGAGGGGGGCCCAGCGCCCTAGGCCTCCCATCTTGGTGAGTCCCTGGCTACCCAGAGCATGATGAGGTGCACACACGTGTATCGTGCTGGGAACGTGGCGACCTGGAGGGGGCCTGGACCCCTGCTGCAGGCTGTAAGGGTGGGCTCCCAGTTGGCCAGAACCCAGACCAACTCTGTCTCCCAGCCCTGTGTGGACTCTGCCTCCCTCACCCGACGCCAGATTCAAACTCTCTGTTCGCTTCACCAGAGTCAGGCCAGCTCAGCCACTGCTCCACCAGGGAAGCTCAAGGCTCCCTTCTGGGACTCCCCAAAAGCTGCAGCAGGGCTCCTGAGGGAAGTGAGGGGCAGCCTGGCCGCCACAGGGCTAACACTGGAGGAAGTGGATGGCATGGAGCCCCTGGAGCTCGGGTTCCCACCCATCTGTGTGCTGGGGGTCCTTAGAGGGGCAGAAACTTAGGTCCTCCTTCCTGTGCCAGCCGAGGGCCATTCAGGAATCCAGATGCCCTCCCCCTCCTATGCTGCAGACAGAGCAGGGCCACTTCTGCCATGGTGAGACACACATTTATTAGTGACCTGGGGCCCGGGCTCCATTTCCAGCACCTGTCACACCCAGGGTGGGGCAGCTGGCCTCCTACCATCTTTCCCTGCTAAACCCTGACTCTTAAGCAGCTTCAGCAGAGGCTTTTTTCTGGTACCTCCGAGTCCCTGTCCTGTGGCTGGCAACACCCCCAGAGCCTGGCTGACTGCCTACTGGGGCCCTCCACTGTTCCAACCGGGGCCACAGCCCCTTCTCGGCCCCACTTGGCCAAGCTGCTCTCGCAGGGCTTGGACTGAGGGCCCCCTCCTCCTCCAGCTATCAAAGCCTGGGCATGGCCGATGCTGAGACCCTCTCTCTTCCACCAGCAAGCCCCTTGAGTTCTGCCCCTTCAGGCCGTCAGTCCACGGGGGGAAGCAGAGGTGGGCCGTGAAAGGAGAAATGCTGGGCCCTCCTCCACCCCTAGTGAGCCCCTCCCTGCCTGCCCCGAGCACTTGTATCGGTGCCAAGTCCCACGCTGGCTGGGGGCTCCCCCTGCACCCCAGTCCCAGGGTCTGGCTCTGCTATCAGGAAGTGCGGGCAGCAAAACTGCTGACTCTGCTCCTGGCGCTGACAGCCCAGCCCGCCTGCCACGCCCAGGCCTCAGCCAGCAGATCTTCCCCCAAAGCTTTGACAGCAAAAGGGAGGAAAAATGTGAGGCCCAGGGGCCCCGGAGGAGCCTGGGCTCGGTCAGTAGGTGCAGTGCTCTGCCAGCTTACCTAAACTTTTCACCCCGAGGCCCCATCCCACATCCCAACAGACCCCTTCTCTGCTCCCCTCACACCACTGCAGCCCAGGGGCCCCAGTTTACCCTCTCGGCCCCGTCCACCTACCACCCTCCTGACATCCAGACTTCCCTCGGCACCCGTGTGCCCCTCAAGCTGCCCTGTACCCCATGCTCCTCGGGCCCTGGCACATCCTCATGCAGCAACTGTGGACCCCCAGCTCGAGCCTCAGCCCTCTCTTCTGTCCACCCCATGGTCCTGGGCCCTGGGAGCCGTTCCGGCCACTTCATGGGAGCCTCCAGCCGGTTGCCGTGCGGTTGAAGTTCTTGGGTTGGGGGTTCAGCTCCAGGATGGGGCGGACTGTGGGAGGGGGCCGGGAAGCTTCCTGCAGTTTCCGGGCGTTGAATCGAGGCCGATACAGGAAGGGCAGGCGGGTGAGGCCGGCCAGGGTGCGCTCCCCACCGCTGGGTCCTGCCAGGCGCCCTCCAGCCTCCGCCACCGACATGCGGTACAGCACGGCATCCCACATCCTGGAGGCCCGGGAGGCGGGGGCCCGGGACACCTCCTGCTCCATGGGGGCATGTGCCTCTGGCTCCAGGCTCTGCTGTGGCCCCGGGCACAGAGGCTCCTCGGCCTCCTCCAGCAGCTGCTTCTTAAGCCACGTCCAGCCACTGAACCGGGGCTTGGGCGCAACTTTGGGGATGGGGCATGGGTGAGGGCCTGATGGTGGCACAGGGGATGAGGCCCTGGAGGGGCTGGACACCCACTCGGCCTCAGGGGTGGGACCAGCCATGGCGGGCTCCTCCAGCTGCTCTCTGCCAGGGCCCATGGGGGCCAGGCTGTGCTGTGACGGGTCCAGGACTCGGCAGGTAGGGGCTATGGGCACCACGACCCTGGCACTCGCCTGTCTGGGCACCAAGGCCTGGAAGCCAGGTGGCAGCCAGGGCACAAGGGGCTCCTCAGATGAGGGTCTGGCAGCCTGGGCTGCGGTGGGCAATGGGCGGATATGAGCCACTGGGACTGGGCCCTGGGCTCTGGGGGGACATGGGGCTTTGTCTCCTTCCTGGCTGTGGGATCCTCCTTCCGGGTCTGTCTTGGGGGGCTCTTGGGTCCCATCGTGTGGGGATGGCGCCAGCCGGATGTGCACCTGGGTGATGTGGGTGCCCCCAGCCACTGGGGCTGAGACAGGGACAAAGCTACTGGAGGGCGGGGCAGGTTCTGGGGCCGGGGCTACAACCTGGGGCCCTGTGGCCTTGAAGTGAGCAGCTAGACCCCTGTGCTGGGTGAGGCTGAAGGAGAAGGTGGACTTCTGCAGGGGTGACGCCACATGGTGGATGATGGGGGTGTGTGGAGAATGGGGTGGGGCAGCCACCGTGTGGGGTGGCTCGGTATGGTTCTTGGCTTCAGGAGGGCTCGGGGCTTCAGCCTGATGCGGGCACTCTGCAGTGTGTGGGGCTACAGCCTCCTGGTCACGGCTGGCCTCACTCACGGGGGACAGGGAGGTGCGGAAGGCCCCGGGTGGGGTGAGGTGCATGCTCCCTGCCATCTTCCTCCGGGCCGCCTTCCTCAGGAGCTTCTGCAGGCGAAGGTTGTCCTTCCCTGGCTTAGGCAGCAGGGGCGGTGGGGGTCCAGGGGTCCCCCGGACGCTCGGGCCACCCACCTCCGGTGCCATCGACGAAGCTGAGATGAGCATGGCTGTGTCCTGGGGTGAAAGGGACAGGAGTCAGGCCAGCCCTCCTCTCTCCCAAGGTGGGAGGCCTGTGTCTTGTGTGACCCAGGGAGAACTTGGGCCCAGAGGTGTGGAGACCTGAGCATTCTGCTTCCTGGGCACCCAGAACCTGCCGGGGGCGTCCTGAGCTTGACTGCATCTTGGGGACTTTGGGGTGGCTCCACCATTACCCTAATGTAGAAATGAGGCACCCGGTTCCTCGAAGGACGGGGCTGGACCCTGCCTCGGGCCTCAGTCGTGCATGTCACCCTGGCACAAAGCAGGCCCCAAGTGCCCAGCCCGGGTCAGGCCACAGTGCCGCATGGGCTGGGGTGGGAGACTCGGGGGAGCCCTGAGTGAGAGGCGTGCCCCTGGCCAGCTGCCGGCCGGGCCCAGGGCTGGAAGAGTGGCTGCCCGCAGACACGTGAGGGGCGCCCCGCCGTCTCCGGCCCGACCACAGGCGCGTCCGCTGCGAGCCAGCGGTGAGGGGTGGCGGCCAAGAGGCTCGGGAAAGCTGAGGCTGCATCATCAGAGGTAGATCGGCCGGAAGGTGGGAGCAGTTTTCGCTGAGCTATGCTAAATGGGATATTCCCGCAGACCTCCGGGCTGGGGTGGTCCGGCCAAGCCGCCCACCCTGGTTTCTGGGCGCCACGTGTTTGCAAGGACATTGACAAATGGCATCTGGGCCGAGCCAGAGGCTGTCTGGTTTGGGGAAGGAGGGAGGCCTGGGGGCTGCTGCTGGGGCTGGCTCTGCCAAGGCAGGAACAGAGCTGCCGGAGGGGTGGGGGCAGAAGGAGCCTGCCCAGGACTTGCTCTCAGTTGCTGGCCGCCTCCAGATGACAGGACCGTAGGAAGCACAGGAACCCCAATTCTAGCTCCTGGGGTGGGCAGGCTGGCTGGCAGGCGGGCCTTCCCTCTACCTGGAGTCAGGTCTCCAGTGAGAGGCCCTGACCCAGGGCACAAGTGCTCACCCTGGGAAGCAGGCCTCTGAGGCAGGGAGTCTTCTCCCGTGGTGGAGAGGGGTTGTGGGCAGACAGAGGCTTGGGGGGTAAGGCTCTGTGGGGTGCAGGAGGCAGGTCTGCAGCCCCTCCTTGGACCCAAGACTAATGCTCCCTGCACCCCATGCCTATGTTCCAGCTTCCTGGGTCTGCAGGTCCAGCCGGGTGGCACCCTCCAAGTACCCAGGGGAGATTCCGGCCAGACACCCGCCCCTTGCCCTGGCTAAGAAGTGGCTTCGTGTTACCAGCATGGCCTACCCTCACCTCTTTGATGCCCCTTGCTGTCACCTCCTTTTGCTCCTGGACCCTTCAGCCTCCCTGCCCTTCCACTCTCTGACCCACCGCCCCCCCCCCCCGCCCAGCCTGCCCTGCACCCACCCAGCTCTGTTTCTCATTACTTGGGGGAGGAAAGAAACTCCTGATCATTGGCCAAAGGGACTTACCCCTGGAGAGGCCAAGTGCCTTCTAGGAAGGTAAGAGGTTGAGTCACAGCCTGTGCAGAGAGGGCAAGTCACCCCCTAGATCCGAGGGGAACCAGATCTAAAGCTGACTGCAGCCATGCAGGAGGCTGGAGGCTGAGGCCCCGCCACTCTTCGCTTGCTGCCCCACCCCGCAGTTTGTGTAATAAAGCTCCCTGTGTATTCCCGTGTGCTGGCTGTCTTGTACTCACTAAGAGGGCAGGGCTGGCCAGGGTGGAAAGGCTGGGCCGGTGGCCAGCCTGTCCCCACATGGCAGAGCAGATTGTGACCTCTGGGTTCAGGCAGTCTGACCCGGCTCATGGCCTTTGCCGTGTGAGGCTCCAGGACACAAATTCTGTGGTGGCCTCGGTGGTGGGGTCCCCACTGTGGGTGGTCCAGGCTTCCTTTTCCAGAAGGGTTATGACATCCTACCCCCACCATGACCAGCCCAATATGAACTTCTGTGCCCTGACTGTGCACCCATGGAAGGCAAGAGCCACCTCTGGGGCCTCCCCCAACACCACCCAGGAGGCGCTCAGTGAAGGTTTGGTAAACAGACACATGGGTGGATGGGTGGGTAGGTGGGTGGACGAATGGGTGGATGAGTGGATGGATAGGTGGATGGGTGGATGGATGGGTAGGTGGGTGGACGAATGGGTGGATGAGTGGATGGATAGGTGGATGGGTGGATGGATGAGTGGATGGATAGGTGGGTGGATGGATGGGTAGGTGGGTGGATGAATGGACGGATGAGTGGATGGATATGTGGGTGAATGGATGGGTAGTGGGTGAGTGGATGAATGGTTGGGTGGGTGAGTGAAGGGATGGATGAGTGGATGAATAGGGGATAGATGAATGCATAGAGGGACATATGGGTGAGTGAATATGGGTGGGTGGATGGGTGGATGAGTGGGTGTATAGGTGGGTGAATGGATGGGCAGGTGGAAGGATGGATGGATAGATGGATGAATTAATGAATGGATAGGTGGATGAATGAATGGAGGGATGGATGAGTGGATGGGTAGATGGATAGAGAGGAGGGGGGCTGGAGGGAGGGATAGAGGGAGGGATTAGTGAGTGAATGGGTAGGCAGGTGGGTGGGTGGATGGATGGATGGATGAATGATTGGATGAAAGTAAGGAGGGATAAATGAAGGGATGGGTACATGGTTGGATGGATGGATAGGTGGATGAATGGAGAGGTGGATGAATGAAAGGATAGATGCATGGATGGGTAGATGAATGGATGAATAGGCAGGTGGGTGGACGGATGGATAGGTGAATGAGTGAATAGGGGATGGATGTGTGGATAGGTAGATGAATGGGTGGATGATGGGATGGGTGATAGGTGACTGAGTGAATGGATAGGTGGGTGAATGGAGGGATGGATGAGTGGATGGGTAGGTGAATGGATAGATGAAGGGATGGATGAATGATAGGTGAGTGAGTGAATGGATGGATGGATGGAGGGCTGGATGAGTGGATGGTGGATGGATGAAGAGATGAATGGATGGATAGATGGATGTATAGGTGGGTGGAATAATGGATGAATGGATGGATAGATGAAGGATGGATGGTGGGTGGAGGGATGGCTGAATGGAGGGATAGATGAGTAGATGGGTAGATGAATGGATGGATGAAGAGATGGATGGATGGAAGGATGGATGAATTGAGGGAAAGATGAATGAATGGTAGATGGGTGGATGGATGGAGGGATGGACAGATGGAGGGATGGATGAATGGAGGGATAGATGAGTGGATGGTAGATGGGTGGATGGATGGAGGGATGGACAGATGGAGGGATGGATGAATGGAGGGATAGATGAGTGGATGGTCGATGGGTGGATGGATGGAGGGATGGACAGATGGAGGGATGGATGAATGGACGGATAGATGAGTGGATGGTAGATGGGTGGATGGATGGAGGGATGGACAGATGGAGGGATGGATGAATGGAGGGATAGATGAGTGGATGGTAGTTGGATGGAGGGATGGACAGATGGAGGGATGGATGAATGGAGGGATAGATGAGTGGATGGTAGATGGGTGGATGGATGGAGGGATGGACAGATGGAGGGATGGATGAATGGAGGGATAGATGAGTGGATGGTAGATGGGTGGATGGATGGAGGGATGGACAGATGGAGGGATGGATGAATGGAGGGATAGATGAGTGGATGGTAGATGGATGGAGGGATGGACAGATGGAGGGATGGATGAATGGAGGGATAGAGGAGTGGATGGTAGATGGATGGAGGGATGGACAGATGGAGGGATGGATGAATGGAGGGATAGATGAGTGGATGGTAGATGGGTGGATGGATGGAGGGATGGACAGATGGAGGGATGGATTATGGAAGAGAAGGAGGGAGGAAAGAAAGGAAGTGATGAAAGTGAGAGTGAATGCGTGGGAATGAATAGATGGGTGGATGAATGGACAGCCGTGTGAAATAGCAGACAGCCTGGGGACATCCTCCCTCCTCTCCCTCCTCTCCCTCCGCTCCCTCCTCTCCCTCCTCTCCCTCCTCTCCCTCCTCTCCCTCCGCTCCCTCCTCTCCCTCCTCTCCCTCCTCTCCCTCCTCTCCCTCCTCTCCCTCCTCTCCCTCCTCTCCCTCCTCTCCCTCCGCTCCCTCCTCTCCCTCCTCTCCCTCCTCTCCCTCCTCTCCCTCCGCTCCCTCCTCTCCCTCCTCTCCCTCCGCTCCCTCCTCTCCCTCCGCTCCCTCCTCTCCCTCCGCTCCCTCCTCTCCCTCCTCTCCCTCCGCTCCCTCCTCTCCCTCCTCTCCCTCCTCTCCCTCCGCTCCCTCCTCTCCCTCCTCTCCCTCCTCTCCCAGGTCCTGCACTAGGGCCTGACACTCAGCCTGGCAGCCCTCCGTGTCTGGGAAGCCCCCGTGAGGAGCAGGCCCCCACCTCTGATGTCCCGGACTTCACTGCCATTCCCTCAGCTCCTCAGAGCCACTGTTTTCTGAAGGCTGCATGTCAAATCCTGCTTGCCTCACGAATACACAGAGTCCAGAAAAGTGAAGCCTCGACAGAGCCACCACCCACGCAAGGGAAGTGACATGCCCGCATCCTTTCATGGATGCCCCGGCCACCGAGAGAGCATTGAGGCCACCCTGCCCAGCTGGGGAGCCACCTGGTGACCACACTCCCTTCCTTTCCCACCCGATCTGGATGGGACAGTGACCAAGGGCAGCTGGGAGAGGCAGCCACCTGACACCCTGTGACCCCCGCTGCAGGCTCCTAGGCCAGCACCACACAGAAGATGCCCACCATATCTACAGAATGAGTTGATGAATCTGCAAAATCCAAAGCACCAGGCATGTGGGAGGCAGCTACCTGGGGTTGGAGCAGCTCAGTCCCCAAGCGCTGTGTCAGCTGCTCCTGTGCTGGGCCTGGCAGTGCTGAGCCCACAGCTGGGCCGAGCGGCCTCAGGCTGGAACCAGCTTGGGCTCAGGTCAGTTCAGGGCACCAGGAGACACTCAGGACCCTCTCGATCTCCGCCACCCCCAACCATGGGCACTGGGTACCGGGACCTAGATGGAGGGCCCCTGGCCCAGTGTCCACCATTAGGCGTCACCCAGGCAGGGAGCTGGAGCCAAGACACTCAGGAGGCCGTCCTCCCTCCCGCAGCCTGCTCCCCACTCCCTGGGCTCGGCTCAGCATTTGCCAGTTTCAGAACTCCCCCTCATTCCCCACAACTGCCCTGGGCCCAAAGACCCATGGTCCATCCTCAGACTCCTTCTGGGTGGAAATGCGTCCCCACCCCAACCTAGGCTGGTCCTCCCTTGTGCCCCACCCCCACCCAGGTCTATAGTGGCCCCAGGAGGCCCCTGTCCTGCCTTCTCTCCTCGGACCACCCTGGTCAGGCCAGATGGCAGCAGGGTGAGGGTTACCTGGTACAGGCCCTCGTGGCTGCTGGTGCCTGATCGGTGCAGTCCCTGCTACGCCTCAGGCTCGCACCCTGAGCGGGAGGTCACTGATACCCAAAATAAAACCTTCCCTGTCCCTCTGACCTCAGCGGGCTGGGAGGAGAGCGCCTGCCAAAGCCGGAGGAGCTGGGCGGGCAGCACCCTCCCCTGCTGGCCACACAGGGTCAGTGCAGGGCCACGGCATGCCCACCTGCAGGTGTGCCCCTCAGGACCCCTGGCCTGGGCGAGGGCTTAGGTGGGCACTGGCTTCCCAGGCCAAGCTCTAGTGAAGCCTGCAGACTGAACCACGTGTAACCACAATGGTGGGCTCGGGGTTCTGTTAGAGGAGCCAGCCTGGAAAGGAGGTTGGTCCCACCATGGGAGAGGACAGGGTGTGCCCGGCGACCCCCAGGGGCCCGCTCAGGTGCCTCTGAGGGAGCAGCTCTGCAGATGTCCCCATTGGGCAGAAAGCTGGTCACAGATGTCCAGAACCAGGGCTGTACGTGGCCCCCCAAAGCCTTGCCCACGAGGACATGGGTGGGGAGGGGAAGGCGTGCAGTGCAGAGGAAGCCACAGACTCAGAGCAGGACAGGACTGTTCCCAGCAACTCCAGCTCCAAGAGCCTCCCCAGCGGCCCACACAAAGCGGGAGGCAGCTAGGGCACAGGCTCTGTCCTTTGAGCCGGCAGCCTGGGGCCATCCCGCCTTGTGATGTGACCTCAGGCACACCCTGCCCCAGGCTCTGCAGCCTTGCTCTTCCATGGAGGGGTTGATGAGGTGCCACCCAAGGCCTTCTGGAAGCCCCGACCCGGTCCCCGGCACTGTGAGCCCCTGCCGGGTTGTCCTGATGTCTCTGACTGCAAGCCTGGGGAGAACAGGGACCTCATCTGCGCCTCTTGGGGCTCGCCCCTATCCTGGGAGCCGGCCAAAAAGGAACCAACCTCGCCTGAACCTGACAGTTCCACAGTCACCACCACCTGTGCCCAGCCTGTGGGGTCTGGGCGGAGTGAGGGTGTGAGTCAGGTGCCAGACTGCTCTCCCCAACTTGGTGCCTCAGTTTCCCTGATCCAAGAGGCAGGGCCATCCAAGCTGTTGGCCTCACTGGCCAGCGGAGGCAGGGAAGGGTGTCTGCGGGTCGGACGGTGCCACCTGGGTCCTGAGGGAAAAAATGCTAGTCTCTGACCCACGCTGAGCCTGCAAAACACGGTGGCACCGACAGTAACGGCCACCGTGAGTACCCGGGGCCCCGGGGCCCCAGCGTGAGACAGGACCTGGAGGGA